CTCAAGTGTCAGAGGTTATTAATGTACTTAATTATAGATGTTCTGAAATATGGACTCCTTCTAAAGGTAGTCTAATAAGTCTATTAAAAATGGAAATATTTCTAAAATGTTAAGGAAGTTTTCCTTAATTCAAGGCTTTCTTTCTATAATAGGTGTACTGCATTTTTTGTTGTATAATTCAGTCTTGTAAATTAAAAATCAGGGTGTTGCTAATGTTCAGTCTTCCTGGGAAGGTATAGCTTTAGCAAATGAGAGGTCAATTATTTTGGGGTGAATATACTGCAATGGCAGAGCTCTAATCTTCTGTTTATTGTTGCTGATAGAAACTCCAGATGAAAACGGGAAAACCCAGCAAGCTGACAGTCATATTATGAAGAAGATAAAGAAAAAAAAGAAAAAGAAACATCGGGAAGACATGAGGGGAAAACGCCTGAAGATGTACAACAAAGAAGTGCAGACTGTGTGTGCTGGGCTCACTCGCATTGACAAGGAGACTCTGTCTCAAGGACAATGTGATAACTTGGAAATGAACAAGGAATCCTTCCGGTATCTGAACGATGAGCAGCTCTGCAGACTGAATTTGGGTATGCAGGAATATCGAATACCCCAGGGAGTACAAACACCATTTGTGACACACCAGGAGCATTCTGTCCGTAGCAGCTTCTTGAAAACTGGCACTAAATTTAGTAACTTCATTCATGAGGAACATCAGTCCAATGGTGGTGCTCTGGTCCTTCATGCTTACATGGATGAACTCTCATTTTTGTCTCCAGTGGAGATGGAGAGATTTGCAGAGGAGTTCCTCGCGTTGTCATTCAGTGAAAACGATAAAAATGCAGCTTACTATGCCTTGGCCATAGTACATGGAGCAGCTGCTTATTTACCAGACTTCCTGGATTACTTTGCTTTTAACTTTCCTAACACTCCAGTGAAAATGGAAATTTTGGGCAAGAAAGATATTGAAACAACAACGATTTCAAATTTTCACTCTCAGGTAAGAACTTTTTAAAGGCATAAAAATTGCACAACGCCAAGATGTGATTAATTTCATTAATTGAGAGCAGGAATTTTTTTTCTTAAATTAGGTGAGGCATAGATTTTTTTTTTTCTAAGCAGATGAAAAAAGATGTTGGGGCTACTGCAGCTGTGTTGCTTATTGCTATTTCTGCTCAAAGCTCTTCTGTGCCTACTGAGTCACAGTTTAGACACTGCCAGCTGTGCCATCTTGCAGACTTTCAGTTTATCTTCTAGCCTTGGGAGAGCAGTGACATTGTTCAAAACAATAGGCAAGTCTCATTAAGAGTTGTATAGATTGCAAAAACTAACACTGCTTTTTCTAGTCAATAAATCTGTTTTTTTGCAGTGCCTTTGGGTTTCAGTTTATCATTGTGATTTCTCTCTGTAGCTGATGCTGGGTGTTTAAACTTTCCCACTTCAGAGAGGTGGCTAGAATGGCTTTTTAATTCCCTTTTAAAAAGGATTTAATTTGGTACACAACCTAAATTTCCACAGTAGGCTTAAACTATCTTAAATTCTCAAACTGTATCTCCCATGTAACTTAAATGGATGCAACAGTAATCACTAAACTAATTTGAAGATTCCCACCAGAATGACCCTTGCATTTGAGCTTCTGATCAGGCTCAGAAGTATCAGTGTATATGCAGCAATGTCAAGGTTTAGATACTTTTGTTTCTGACGGAGTGAAACCTCTTCCTGCTGGGTTGAGTCTGAGAACAGATTCAAATCGCTGCCTCCTTTTGAAGTCTTTATTCAAGACCTTTGTTGCTTATACTGGTTGCCCTGTTGGAAACCTGAACTGCTGTAGCAGAGGGCATTTCAGTCCTTGGAACATACATTCTTTAGCAATGGATTTTGAAGTTGTAGTGCTCGTGGATGGGTGATTTGGAGAGATCCAGAGTTTGCCAAGTGCATAAGCAAGGTTTGTGTGGGAAAAACAGTTACTACTTCACAGAAAGTTACTGCAGGGTTACTTGCTGTGTCTTTGAAACTTTGCAGCATTTATCATAGATACCATTTAATTAGTAACTCTGACACTTATGAGTGTTCAACAATGAATAGCTGCTGCAGCACTTACTTTAAATCAGCTTCTATTTCTTAGTTTAAGTGATGCTTCATGCTGACAGCTGCATCAGAGTTCATAGTACTCCATAAACAGTCTGAGCACATGAGCTGCTGCTACCAAGAACACTTTTGCACAATACACTTGTTCTCTGCAGATGTGAAACTTGTCTGCAGTTTAGGTTTTAAAGTCTTCTGTATTAATGATTTATCTGTGTGCTATGACATCATTATGAGGTAACCCCCTGAAATGACTGAGCGGTGTCAACTGGATATTTAGCAATTACACTTTTACTTAGTGAATGTCTCAGTCTTGTGAACATGAAAAGCTTGTATTATAAACACGTATGTGAGGCATATATGGTAATAAATAATAGGATTCCCTAGGTTATAGTCTGTGCTGGTATTTCAATTAATTCTATTTTAAGTACTGTCTAAACTTGATTTAAGAGTGAGTCATGACTTAAGGTTCAGTTGGTCCAGAACATCTCTCTAAACTTGGCTTCAGCATGACCTAGTTAATCCTCTTTGGCTGAGTGTGGCTCACCCTCTGAGCAAACACACAAGTCTAGTTCACAACTCTACAGGCAGCTGAAATGAGACTCTTCAGAGAATGCAGGTGGTGCTGAAGTTTCTAGTTTAAAATTGATGCGTTTTGATGGATGGTGGATTAAACGATGGTAGCTGCATGCTGCCAAATCTCAAGTTTTGCAGGCTGGCTTATCTTTAGAGAAAGCTGAAATGCCCTTCAAGAGTGTGAGGAGGATCTGTCTGGCTGTTTTACTGCTATTCCATGGTAGTCCTGTTGGGAAATCAGCTAAGCTTCGCTTCTGGATCTTCCTGTATGAGAAACTGTACAGTGCAAAAGCCCTTCACGTTAATGCCTTTGCGGACTAACCATGTTACAGTTTTGTGTGCTGTAATGCTGATATTTTCAATCAAAGTTAAAAGTCACCTACATTTTAGGTTGAACTGTTTGTATGCATAAACTTGTTTGCTGTACTGAACTGTGCTATGGTGAAGGGATTTGAGGCATTAGGTCTTGAGTCCTGGAGTCTTGGTGTCAAGAAATTGAACTTTGATCTGTAAACTGCAGTTTAACTGAAAGTCAACGTGATCTTTGGCTTGTACAGCATTCAGCTGGTTTGTGTACTTCTTCAGGCAAACTGAATTTTAGTAGGAAGTGTCTCCAATTCGAAATAAGGACTGCAATCTGGAAGGCTTCATACAAATCTAGTGATGATTAACTTCCTTGCAAGGTGAATTTCTTTGTTCTCAGGGCAGTGAGAACAATGTAAACTGAATGTTTATAACAAAGCACTCCAGTGTGTATTTGTAGTATAAGTGTTTGGTTTCAGTATATTAAAATAATGAAGCTTCGACGTTCTCTGGATTTTTTTTGCGTGTATTGGCTCAGGCTCATTTTTTCTGATCCTTTAGTGCTAAAGCTAAGCTTCAGTTTCGAACTGTTCACTTGGACTAAGAGCTTTCAAGACTCAAATCACAGAACAGTGATTTGTAAGCTTTCGTCACACTTAATTCTCAAGTGTATATATTTCTTTAAGTTCTATTAAAATTACCAAAACATTGAAATCCAAGATTTCCTTGAAGTATTTCTAATCTCTGTTATGGCTCTTGAATTAATTTCTATTTTTTCATTGCATTCCAATGCATAAAAAATTAAATGTTAAAGCATCTAGTTTTCAGTTCTCTTTGAAAACATTACAGTTCATTTTAATGTGTGAGAAACACCTGTGAAATACTAGAGAATCTCACCAGATGGTTTATGGAAGTAGTCTGTCTCCAGTTACTGAAATAGTACCAGGCAATTAAAAGTAACTGGCTTAAGGACCAGAGTGTTTCAGTCCTTAGCTCTCCCATAGGTGCACAGAACTTCACTAATGCCACAGTTTTCCATAATTGCTGCTCTGAAGTGTGTTCCAGCTGCTGGTGGAACTGTTCCACTTGACTGCTGTTAGGTATGGACCTTTACCAGTAATGTTCTAATGGGGTTTGGTGATGTAACTTTCTCCAAAAAGAGAAAGCCAAAAGAGTAAACAGCCTCTGAAGGTTGTGTCTGGTTCTTAAAACCTGTGTGGTTAAGAACAAAGTGAATGTGCTCACCCAGAGGCTTCTGGTGGCTGTGGGGGGCTGGGAGACAAGAGTCCTTGAGCTATACAGGGGTCTTCTGTGAGGCTTCTTCAGGCTGTATTGCAACTGGTGACCCTAAAAACTTTGTTGTACATGAACACTGGATTTCTAGCTAGACTTCTCCTTTCCTCAGCTTTTTGTCCAAGTCTGTGTATATGCTCTAGCAATGTTATCAGAACCACTGTGTGAAGGACATCTAGATTTTCACTTCAGTCATAGGGAAAAGGCTGACAGGATGTGACTGGCATGAAGACTGCATATATTTCAGGAGTACCCAGGTTGGAATGTAGACGCAGCAGTTAACCACACCAATTAGCAGAGTTTAATGTTTCTGGTGAAGGACTGAGTCACAGTGAAACTTTGTCAGTTTTCTCCAGTCAGCCTGGAAGCATTGAACTGTTACTGAATTAGTAAAATACTAGTTAGCTATTATTCAAACTGAGAAGTATTTCCTATCAGTAGTACAGACAGGAGTTCTTTCCTATTGGGATTGCCTGCAGGCATCTCTTCTAAGCAGTCTTTGTGCATATTCCTGATGGCATCTCCGGTGAAATAGGTGTAGATGAGTCCAGGATTCATCTTGGCTGTGGCCTAGTGCGTGATATCAATCAATGTTCATCTCTTGTAGCAGACCTAAACCTGTACTGGTGTTTTTCCTTCCTGGCCACTCAGGTCAATCGGACGTACTGCTGTGGAACCTACAGAGCAGGACCCATGCGGCAGATCAGCCTTGTTGGAGCAGTGGATGAAGAAGTTGGGGACTACTTCCCAGAGTTTCTAGATATGTTAGAAGAATCTCCATTTCTCAGAGTAAGCAGTAAATTGTGGTGTTATGTTCAGAGTGCTATCAGTATTTAAACAATAACTACATTTCTTATTTCCAAGTAATTAGAAACCATAAAGTAATTTGTTTGTTGATGAGCTTGTTGTTTGGGCTTCTGAGGTGCACTGTCCGAATGAAAGGTACTGAATTAGATAGCTACAGTTGTGTGAATAATTAAAAAATTGAATATAGCTTATCATAGGCAGTACATAATCTACTTGCCTAAAGACTAAGTTTAATAAAGTTAGCTGGGACTATATTTTGACTCTCGAACTTACTTTAGTTTTTATGCAATTCATCTGAGGGCAAATCTGAACCAGTTTTACCAAAGGTGACATTTAATTTTTCTATTTCACCCAGTGTTTTGTGTTATGTGTGTTTTGTGGGTTGTTTTGTTTTTGTTGTCTTTTAGATGACCTTGCCCTGGGGCACT